AGAAGGTCATTTTTACCATCATCTATCAAAATCTTCCATCTTAACCATCTTGTTTAGTGTACTTACGACCTTGGAGCATGCATCAAAATAACATTGAGTGTGTATCTAGCTTACGATTATTATTGTTTATATTGCTGCTCATTTATATTATGCATGTGATTGTAAGCCTACTTGTGTGTGCATGTGTGTACACGTGTGTACGTGTGTGTGTTTGTGAGTGTGTGTGTGTGTGTGTGTGTGTGTGTGTGTGTGTGTGTGTGCGCGCGTGCGTGTGTGTGTGTGTGTGTGTGTGTGTACTCGTGGTGGAGCACCAAACCAATGTGCCAGGATCTGGACAATAAAGATGTATCTTATCTTATCTTATCTTATCTTCACTTCTGTTCAAGATAGATCAATATTTTTTCTTTACGACGAATTCAAAACAAATTATTCAAGCTTTAATTTGATTAATTTGATAGCAATAGCTTCATATGCCAGAAAATTGACGAGCACCTGATTCCACCACGTTGCGGCACATGTTATGGTGGCATGGCAACCGGACAGACTAACTAACATTGTGGGCCTGATCTGACTCGGATGAGTTTTCTGGATTAGCATCCAGGTATGCAGCATTTTAAGGTGACTGAAAGAAAGAATAAGTAAATAAAAAGATTGATAACTGAATAAATAAATGAATAAATAAATATGTAAGGCAGCGTGGTGGAATCAGGCTCTCGTCAATTTTTGGGCATGCAGTTATTGGTATCATCTTAAAGCTTGTTCACTTGTCTTTATTTGGATGAAAAAAGTATCCATTTATCTTGAATACAAGTCGAGATATTTAAGAAAGAAGAAGGTGGGGGTCACCTGTTTTCAGAGGTAAAATTAGTGAGAAAATGGCCGCCAAAGGTTAGTTATTTCTTTAGCTTAACAGTCCGTGGTAACTGAAAATTTACATTTTCTGTGCCTTTAATCAACATTTTTCAGAAAAATCCCCACAGAAATGAGTTCTTTAATGGGCATGAAAGGTGTTGAGCCAAAAAACAAAAATTTAATAAAAATTCACAAACCTGCGGAAAAATGCAAGTTTCTTCATTTTGATTATTTTGACGAGAGCCTGATTCCACCACGCTGCCTCACATATATAAATGAATAAATAAATAAATAAGTAAAGAAAGAAAGATAGAAAGAAAGAAAGAAAGAAAGAAAGAAAGAAAGAAATTACATCTTATTGATACCCCTGGAGAAATTTGGGTTTCAGTGGCAAACATACAGACATACATAATCATAATTAATACATACTTATAATATACGTACATACGTACACAATATTACACCAATACAGAAAAAATTTCCCAAACACGTCATTGCTGGTCCCACTGTACAGCGCCCTGATTATTTTTTAAAGCTAAGATTGTCGTGTCTTGCTCAAGGACACACCCTAGTGACCACCAATCTAAACCCAAAGTAGACGCGCCTAATAAAGATAGACCACCTAAACAAGTAGGTTTTTGTATTCCTACTTATTATTGTCTAATAAAACGAGGTTTTTTGCATTCCTACTTATTGTCATCTAATAAAACGAGGTTTTAGGAATTTGTTTGTGGTTATTCTCTTAGGTAAAAAAGAATTCTTTGTTGAATTAGCTCGTACAATTCTTTACCGGGACACCTGGAGTTCTCATCTCTGGCTCAGATTTTGACGTGCAATGACCCGCCATTGCTTACAGTCGCTAGCTGCCGTCATACACTCTGTCATACTTAGGCCAGTACATGCCTTGATGTCGTTGGTCCACATTGTTCTTTATCCACCCATAGTCCCTTTGCCCCACGTCTTACTTTTGAGCAGTTCCTTCATAATGGTCTGATGACATTTTAATTTACCAAAAGTATTGCGATTTCTTTTTCTTTTTTTTTGGTTTTTTTTTTTTTTTTTTTGGGGGGGGGTGTTAAGCTGGGTTTGTCTTGTGAGGAGAATCTGACACACCTCATTGTTAGTCTCTTTTGTTTTTCAACTAATTCTGGACATTTTGTGGTGGCACCTCATCTAGAATGCAGCTTTCTCGTTTTTTTGTGTTTTTTTGTGTCCGCTTTATATGTTATAATAATAATCTAACGTTTTTCACTTCACAGAGGTCATAGAAATTCTAAAGTTTCATCCATGCAAATCTTTTTTAAACAACAACAACGACAACAACAAAAAACACAACAAAATAAAAACAAAACGAACCAAAACCAAAAATAAAACAACACTGTAAGCTCTGATCATCAGCTGCAGCCGTTTATGCAGTGACGTAAAGGATCTTCACTGTGGCACGCACCCAGGAGACTAAAGTTCAGAGCCTCTCGTGGCCTAGAGGTTAAGGTGTTCGCCTCTCATTCAATAGGTCCCGCATTCGAATCCGGATAACGACAGAGATTTTTGTTCTCTCGCAATATTATGTCATCTCGAGGTCCCGTGTGCAAGTTGCGCACGTTAAAGATCCCTTGGTGGGCCAAAATCGATAAGAGTAGACTACGGCCGCCACCCAGGCAAAATTCAAAAATTCCTAGCGACTGAAAATGTTCAATGTGTCCCGCGCACCCATATGACC